ACAAGTATGGGGAAAGAAACCGTGTCGAAGGCTTTTTTTAGGTCGAGGAAAACCGAGGCACATTTAATATTTGCATCCATTTTTTTGGCAACAAATGTACTGAGTTCAGTTACTGCGTCCTCGGTTGACCTCCCCCTCCTAAAGCCAAATTGTGATGCAGATAACAGGTCATATTTATTGATATAATTCAATAATCTAACATTCAGTAGTTTTTCAAGCAGTTTGGCTATGACCGGTAATACTGAGATTGGCCTGTAATTACTTATGTCGTCTCTGTCCCCACCCTTGTACACAGGCGTAATAATAGACTGTTTCAGTACTGCTGGGAAAACACCTCTATCCATACTAAGATTTGCAATGTGTGTAATAATAGGTACAACTTCATGTCTAGCTATTTTCAGGAAACTAGTTGGAATATTGTCCCAGCCGGGGGCACTATCCGATTTTAGACCCATTAGTAGTCTATCCACCTCATCATCATCTGTGTGAAGCAGCACAAGAGAGTTTGGTTGAGCAGGAATATTTTGTAATTAATTATTTTGTTCGTTACCTAGGTGTTGTTGTATATTTTGTGCGAGCTGAGCGCCAATATTTGAGAAATAAGTATTGATAAAGTTTGCTGATTCAGTTGGAGTTGATTTTAAGTTAAGCAATTCTGTGATAATATTTTTGACTTTATTTGTGTATGTTATAGATTTGATATTTTTCCGCAGTAATTTATTGTTTTTTGTTGAATTAGCTATCAGATCTCTGTCATATTTCCTTTTTAGTTTTTTTATTAGATTATTACAATAATTTCTATAACGAACATATGTTATCTTTGCAATTTCATTGTGTTCATCCTTCCGAAATTGTTTTTGTAGCTTATTTCGGTTATTTATGCAGCGTAGGATACCTGGAGTAATCCATGGCTTTATTATGCGTTTAGATTTAGGAATAGTTATAGATGTGGTGTTCTCTTGAATTGATTGCGCAATGCTACTTATGAGACACTCAGCTACTTTTTCGGGATCGTCCGAGAAAAGCAAGGATGGTAAGTTTTTATTTTTTAAGGTTTTAAGTGCTTCCTCAAAGTTTATTTTGGTTTTAGATTTAGGAGTTGTGTAATTACTTTTAACCTTCGATAAACAAAGGAATGTGGTAAAGTGATCAGTAATTGTAGTTTGCAGGACTGCAATGGAGGCCTTAGTTCTTTTTGTATTTATTTTTAACATTAAATGGTCCAAACAGTTCTTTTTTCTAGTAGGTAAATAATGGCCTGCAAGGATTCCATATGATGATAACATATTAAGATAATTTATCCTATTTTTGTATTCATGTGGTGGTCCTTCATCCTTAGGTTTAATATTTATATTTATATCGCCAGCAATAACAATATTCTTGTTTGATTTTAAGGTTTCTAAATGTTGACATAACGATTTAACAAAAGATTCAGCATTAGTGTTCGAAGGCGACCGATAAATACATAAGACTGTGTTGTTCAAGATGTCTACTTGTAGGCATGATGCCTGGTCAAAGAAAACCTCGCGAATATTGTGATTTATAGATTTCTTAACATATACCACAACTCCATCATTTTGATTCTGTTGATTAGCAGTAAAGTATGAATTATAATTGACAAGTTGCGGTAGTGGTTTATTTACGCTAAGCCGGCATTCCGTTAAGACTATAATATCTGTGTCAACTTTTATGGAGGATAATAAGAGTGATAACTCGTTAAAATTGCCATAAATACTGCGTATATTTTGTGCGATCAAGGTGAGATCCTGTTTTCTTATTTGAATATGCCTTGTCAAGTCATTAGAATCGCATTCAACGCAGTCCGCTATCTCTAGGCAGTCTATATCTGTTATAGTATTTAATGTGTCACCCATTATGGTCGACTAACATTAAGCAATTCAATTTGACTGGATAATCAACGGGTAGGTAATATGAAAGATAACATGCCGCTAGTTCAGTAGTCAGCTGTGGAGGAAGTGATTGAATCATTAAAAGTAACTCAATAATTAGTTCATATACAAGTGTAATTGTATTGATTAAGTATGTGTCGATAACAAATTGGTTGATTTTTGTAGCAATAGTTGGTATATAGGTTATAATAATAAAGTGTGTATTTTGTGTGCGTGATGTTAAGTTTGCGTACAGGTATGTAAGTACGGGTTCATGGCGGAGAACTGGATGTGTTTGTTGGATGTGAGTGTATGCGTGGTGTTGGTTTTGTGTGTTGTAGGTGTATGGTAAATATGGTAAGTAATATCGGGTTTCTTTGCAGTTTGAAAGCATGTAGTTTAAAAATATTTTAGACAAAAACAAATCACTATTATAAAGAAAAACAAAATTCAGCATAATGTAAACTAAACAGCTGATTATATACAAGGATAGTCATTCTTCGTGTAACAGCTGATGTATCTGGTTTTCATTTGTTATCATAATAACTGGCGACTGTTCATTCTTCCTTATATACACTTTGCCGTAAGCGGTCCAGACAAATTTATATTCCCTCGATTTTGCTAGGTCTCTTGCCAAAAAATGTAAACGTGTGCCTTTTGCAGTTAGGTGCTCCGATAAGAAGACAGGTGTATCTTCACGAGTTTTTAATCCCAGATGTTTGGCACATAGCTTACTCTTTGTTTTTTTATTGAAGGATCTGGCCTTGCTTATGAATTCAGTCTTCAGCAAAACCGAGTTAGTTTCCACTATGATAGGTGTATCCTTTTTTTCGTTTTTCCCACGAATCCTGTAGATATCCCTGATGTCGGATTTACTGAAACTGGAGCCTATATTCTCAGCGAGACAGGTGACCATCTCCACAAGATCCTGTTTCGTCTCCTTGTCTAGTTTAGGTACATTTTTTATTTCCATGTTAGATTTACGAGATCCAGTTTGAAGGTCCTCTATTCTATTTTCCAACATAATAATGTAGTCCCGGTCCTCCGACAACTTATTTTCCAGTTGCGTGATCCGTTTCTTAAATTCTTCATTTTGTGCTGTTAATAACTCGACGGAGCTTTGAATGCTATCATTTGACAGTTTGATTTGCCTAAGGGTAGTAACAACTTGACTCAGCTCGTCTTTTTGGGATTTAGCGTAATAACTTACGAGTTTTCTCATTTCTTGCTTGAAGTCATCAAAACCGTTTTTGCATTCGTTATTTTCGTTTTCGGGGGCGTTGGTCCTAGGTTGACGTTCAGTCACATATACTGGGGACAACGACGCTTCGTGCTCCCCCGATGCTGATAAGCAAATCGACATATCATCTTGGTTTTTGGTGTCATCATTGTCGGCTCCATATTTATTAACCGTAGAATTGAGATCCATCGGTTACCGGGCGAGACTTGGGCGAGACAAGGTGGGACGTCACAGCAAACAGGTTCAATGACCGCCCTTGACCGTGGTGACAACAGAGATAGAAAGTAACAAGTTGCTTAGGTGCGAGCAGGACAGCGTCTTATTCGTATGATTTGATATGATCGCACTAAAGTATTGTTTTTAATGAATTTCTGTCGAAAAATCACTTGTTTTTAATCATTAGTTTTATACTTCAGGCACTAATTTCACTGCAGATCCAGTTTTTAGCAATAATAGGTCACTTTAACACTATTTACGGAATTTAAAAGCGGAGCAAGCGCAAAACGTTGCGTACTTGACAATGTACCGTACGGAAGATTTTGTCTCTTTGTGAACTGATTCTAGAAGGGAACATTTTGTCCTTTGTAAGCAGTCTTATGGGAACAGTAGCATTTCAAAGTGATAGAGTAGATACCTAGTTCTAGGTGCCGTAAGATAGCGGCTGAGAATACTCCCACCCCTAGTCCACTCAGGGTGTTTCGTAAAAGGCACCGTAGAGTTTTTGATCTCGGCTGAATTGGTAGCTATCGACTATGGTCAATCGTATGGTAGCGGTAATACCACCTATAATAGCATTCCCAAAGAGGCAGCAGGTGGTCGGTCATAAAAAATTGCCAAATCCTATTGCTTACATGATTTTGTGGTCTAACAAAACATGTTGCGCAGTCACCAAATGATTTGGGATACGGGCAAACTTACAATGAGAGTAGGTCTACGTGACAAAATACCTACCGGCTGTTCTAGCTCGCATACGTGGGTACCTACAGTGGTTACCTATTTGGATGCTTCCTTGCTGTTGGGTGCGATTAAAGGGTGCGATATTTCTCTCGTCTTATCTCATCTAGCTTTCGTCATCCCACTGATGAGCAAAGGATATCCATTATTAAAAAATCGTGAGAAACGTGATCAGTGAACATCTAGAATTCATAACATTTTGCCTTCGAATGGGTAAGTAAGTAGGTAAGTACTCGTGTCATAAAACTTTGCCTTCGAAATAGGCAAGTAGGTACTCGTGTTACACCCATCATTTACCCGCGTACCATATTTTGTTACCGGCTAATACAGGCTTAGCCGACAATTACAAACAAATCCGTGGTAAAATTAAAAGATAACAGCTTAAATGCGGTATCGCGTGTACGCACACCCGTGCCTTTGCTCACACACTGCTGCTCTATATCTGTTTAGTGGAACTAAGGATTAGTGGAACGGGAACCAAGGTTGCTTGAACCCTGACATGAACAGATAAAAAGATAATAGCTTAGCAGATTACAGCTTATACGAAAATAGGTCAATTGGTCAAAATAACAGCTTAAATGCGGTGCCAATTGCTCTCACGCTGCTGCTCTATATCTGTTTAGTGGAGCTAAGGATTATTGGAAAGGCAACCAATGTTGCTTGAACCCTGACGTGACATAATAGCTTAAAATATAAAATCTTAGCAGATAACAGCTTATATGATCACAGCTAAAAAAAACAGCCTAAATACGGTACCATTGCTCACACACTGCTGCTATAGGTATATCTGTTTAGTGGAACTAAGGATTAGTGTAACGGGAACCAATGTTGCTTGAGCTCTGACTTCTTCAACTTGGCCGTTCTCTCACACAACTGAGTTTCGGGAGCCGGAAATTCTCTGCACAAATCACACCCTTGACAGCCGATATGGTAGTGCGACTGCCTGCAACGCAGAAGGTTCCGAGTTCGATTCCCGGTGGGTCACATCAAAAAGTTTATATTTATCACATTATAAATTTCTTCCTAGTCTGCTTAGGACATTACAGGCTGAACCACCTAATTTTCCGAAAGCAAAATAGTTCCGTGCTTTGGAAAGCACAAGCTATCGGTCCCAGTTGCTATCTATGATTACCTACTTTTTGCGGTCATTACACAACTATTGTCAGAGACCTGCTACTTGTAGCAGGCGCTTGTATAACTCTGATAGGTACTAGGGTTTATCGGGCCGTTGGACAACAAAAGAGACTGGACAAATCTCACCCGAAAACTCATGGATTGATGATGGATCCAAAAATTCCGCATAAAAACTCGACTCTGCATTGCATCTCCATATTTTATTTAGCGATTGTATTTTGTCATTTGTATCTCTCTCTCTCTCTCTCTTCGTATGGTAGATGTCATGACATGAACCGCAATAACATCCGGTACATAGATAAGATTCACCTGTCATAGACATTTTTATTCAGACGCGTAGACGGAATAGACGGATTCATTCATCAAAACACATGTCAAGTAGCGCCCTTCAAAACAAGAACATTGTCTCTCCACATTCCTTCTTAAGCCAGAAAATAGAAACAAAAAGTCGGAAGTAAGGTATCGAGTTATTTTAGCCGTTCTTTATTCAAATAACAATAATAATGGCGGCGCGGGTGGCGTGCGCACGCGCGCCGCGCCAGGTGAGCGCGCGACATCTGCTGGACGCGGCCGGTACACGCTGCGACGTCGATATCGTGAACAGGGATTAGCTGGAAGAGATTCGAATCGGGCCACATTGTCTACCTGTAAGTTCTTCTTTAGGACGACTCGGTGTCCCACATAAAAAGAGAGAGAGAGAGTTCACATTTCAATTTGTGTTGTGACTGAACGATAGTCTTATAGAGTCTGACTGAAGGCAAAAAGACTCAATACAATAGCAGCGCAGTATTCCAGTGGATACGTAAAATAATTCCCAGGAGGCCGCCCTTCCACTTTCTCATGACGGCTACTAGCTTGCTCCACCATCCCACCCATCTGAATCAACCAATCACTAGCGTACCAAAAACGTTGTGAAACCGACAGGTACCTGTACAATATACTGGTATAACCAGTGTCATTTTGGTATTTTGGCTAACTACCACGCAATGCGAGCTCCATGGTCTTGTCCATGGTTAAAACCAAACTTATTTCTTTGAGAGTGTGATGCAATGATGACCCTTTTAGAATGGTGCTCTAAAGAAAATGATTTGATTGTGATGTATTTATTTCTGTGAGTGACACTTCCACATCTCGCTCTATATCCTTGTAAATCGGTTCACTTGGTAGAAGCGAGCATGTGAACGTGGTATCAAATATCGCCCCACAAATATTAGCATAGCCCGCACGAGTTTATCAAAAAACCTAAGGCGGGTTTTTGACCTTAACACCTTTGGAAGGGAATGGTCACTGCAGATATAGATAAACCTAAACCGTGTAGTCACCAGCACATCAACTAAGTACCCATTTATGTGACCAACTTACGAATGAGTCCTCTTAATTGTTGTATGAATAACCAGTGTAAGTTGGTCCCTTTAAAGGTGTATGCTGATGCCCTGGTACTTTCAGAAGCTGCCTGTATCTTTATGGAAGCAACGTATCGGATTTTTCTAATAAACTTTAGGAAGACCCAGTATCAGTTAATCCAGTCCATAACATAAGCACAAATTAGGGAGACGATAGATACGTAGGGCCAAGTAACATAAACCAAGGTGACATAAACTAAAAATCCTCTTGTCGCCTGTTATAGTCATAATTTTATAACAAACATGCCTAACTTTAAACGACAAATTACTAGGAAATATTTTAGCCCTACCACGCATAGAGGTACCATTGCTTGATTCGCGGGCGTTAGCTGCTGTAGCCCAGTTGGTAGAGGCGGCGTCAGTACAGATGGAGAAGGTCGCTGGTTCAAATACAGCCTGCGGTGAAAAGTTTTCCTCAATATTTTACCATTTCACTGTTTCTCCTTTCGTTCGACCATAATCCCGAATTCCCGATTCTACGTCTTCTCTCGAACAAAAATTCAATTTACATCTCGGGCCGCAGGACTTAATTCTTTCACCCGGACGGTGCGAAATAAATCTCCCGTAATTGATTCAGGTTTAGTTCAAATTTGTCTTCGTTAAAACTCAATTTCCCGAGTCTATTTGTGAATAATAAATTGCTTGTTTCGACGATGTGCGGCTTGTTATGCTCGCCTGATTGTTTCCAAGAGTTCACGTGGAACTTAGATTGGTGAAGTTTTTGTTCAATGTGTATCAAAACGTGAAGAATATCGACGCGTCAATAAGAGTCGGTGTCAAGAAAAAGGTTCCACAGATGCGGCGCTTTTAGCTGAATAAATTGTTTATCGCTTAGAATGACACTATTTTGGAAAGTAACAAACCCTTTTAAGGGTTTCGTAGCCTACTAGAAACCCTCTTCATTTCGTCAAGTCTGTCTGTCTGACTGTCTGTATGCCGCGCCCTTATTATCTTCGTCAGTTTTAAAGCTATCGACTTAAAATAAATAAATATTGGGATATAGGAGTTTTAGGTACAATAAGAACCATATGAAAATAATTTCGTAAATGTATTCTTTAATAATAGAAACGTTCTCTGATTTAAATTAAATTCCCCTGGGTTCTCACACAAAGGTTTTACATTCTATCCGCAGCTAGAAATCTGAATGGAATTTCATTTCATGTTAAATAAATTGCTGAATATTAAATACATATTCCACATTGAGTTGTATTACTTGTACCAACCTATGAAAGAAGCGGATGCTGCTGGACTGGACTCACTAGTCATCATCTTCCTGCCCTTATCCCAATTACTTGGGGTCACCGCAACACGTTTCGTTGAACACAAAATCGTGTTGCAAAGGGATTTGGCTGAATTTTACGACCGGCCGCCTACCAGACGTCAACCCTCTTTGGAAATGCTTTTGTGGTGGATTAACCGCCACCATACGGTTGGCCCTGGCTGTTTGGGTCGGGTTTATCCTTCGGTCGCCTCTAACGACCCCCACGGGAAGAGGAGAGATAGTGCTATTCTACTCTGCCGGCACCACACGGCATTGGACTGGACTGACTAGTACCAAAGAATACTAACTATAGCTAACCGCTCTAGTACCTACAGTAACAAATTGTAGGTGAAGCTTTATTACAACTCTCTATGATAGCTATAGTATAGCGAGTAAGTACCATAAAGCCACACAACTTTGGCAGGTAATTTTGCCCAAAACGAAAATTAACTGAAACTCCGACTACAAATGAATACCATAAATAAAACTGAACAGCTTTCCATAAGTTGTTTTTTTTATTTAACTTTTTTTTTACTTTCCTCTGTAGATAAAAGATGACGTCAGGCAGGCGGCCTTCGTAAAATTAAGCCAAATCCTTTTGTAACATGACTTTGAGTTCAAACAAAACAGTAATTAGGATGAGGACAGGAACATAATGATGATGATGAGTAGATAAAAGCAGTTGGCTGATCATTATTTTGTATGGCAGGACAGGTCGAACATATGTTATCCTACGGAAAAGTTGTTCAGTTGCATAAGTAGTAGTACCTTTGCCCTATAAAATACTTTTCGCTTTTGTGATGGACCTCACTGTCTGAATCTCTGAATGTCTCACAAACTTTTTATAACAGCGGTCAGGGGCTATATCCGGAACCTTTATACTAAAATGATGGTACCTGTAACCGCCGTAAGCCGTAACATAATTTTACGGCCATACTTAAGTCTTTTAATAAAGAAAAAGCAAGGACAAGAATAAATATTGTCCTTATTAGTATGGGAAAATTAATTTATTCAGGTCGAATAATTCGTGTAGTTTTGAAAGTTGCTACAGTTATTCCTAAAGATGTCCAGATTAATATACTAAAAGCCCCCGAGGGAGGGACACGAGCCCGCGGTGGGGGAGGGGGGGGCAAGGTCTCTTTTTCAAGGTTTTTGCTTGTAACTCGAAAATTATTCATAATATCTGTTTAGTGACTTCTAATTTCCTATAAATTACGTCTAAACATTTTTACTGTACGATCAATACTTTAGGAGATACAGAGTATTAAAGTTAAAAAAATAAGAAACAACATAGCTTTACAAATTTCAATTATAAAAAGAAATCACATCTTTTTTTGCACGACTTATTGCTCAAATTGTGTTTCATCTTCGTCATCTTTATCACTAACATCGATGGGGGGTCCATTAGTACAAGCTCCTAGGCAGCCGTTACAGATAAGACTACACCTGCATGGAGTATTGCTGTCACATATGGGACGGGTCTGCCAAATACCAGCTGGCAGCACTGGACTCGATTGAGAAGCGCGCCAAGAAACTCATCGCTGATAGGGCACTTATTGACGAAAGTTACAGAGCCTCGAACACCGTCGCAATGTAGCTTGCTTGTCGGTATTCTACAGGATACATTTCGGGGAGTGTGCACAGTCTCGCCATGACCTGATACCTCTGTCACCATTCCATCTCCGGTGCACGAGATGCCGGTTGGTATTCCACCCTTATATCGTAGACATCCCGCAAATTCGCACAAAGCGCTTCGCTTCTACATTTTTAATGCGAACTGCTAAGGAGTGGAACTCCCTGCCCGCGGATCTGTTTCCGGAACGTTATAACCTGGGCCTTTTAAAGGCGAGAGTGAATAGGCATTATCTGGGCGAGCATGTTCCATCATCGTCTGCATCGTCACTTAACATCAGGTGAGATTGCGGACAAATGCTTACCCATTGTTTATAAAAAAAAAAAACTTAACGCCCGCTTTTCGGCAACTGCATTTTCCGGAACACCCACTTTTGCATCGGCAAAAAATTTAATTTAACAACGCTTCAAGAGCAGGAGGATCCAAGGTCGTGATTGGTTCTAAGTTTCCATCGACTCTTCGCTTCCAACCCCATATTTCAGGAGGCAGTTGGTTCCCAAGCCACTCCTGTACTTGATGGAATACTCAGCTGTAAGTGTGATATTTTGCTGAC